CACACGCGCCCCCCCCCCCCCCATCAAGACACTGTTACCACAGATATTATTGATCGCCATCTCCCTGCTGCTCTCACCGCAGATCCAGGTCACTAAGATCCCCCTCCTAGTCTCGAAGTTCCAGACACAGCGACAACTACAGGGACTCATACCACTCTCGGTATGATGACCACTGGCACACACATCATGATCATCGAGACCGTTATTCCTGATTGATCCGTTCTTCACCATCACCAGCTCCATCACGGCGCACTCACGGCAGGAGTAGATCCTCTACTCCAGCAGCAGCCAGGCCACCGACTCCATCCAGTGACTTACCTTCTGAGGAACATCCCATCGCTGAACTACCACAGGTCTTGGAGGTAGAGGCACCACAGCAATCCTCTCCCTCTTCTATGGACGATGCCATCCTCACCGGAGATACATCACCCTCCGATGACCTTAAGGAGTCCCAAGACCTTTTTTGCTGGGTAGTAGACACACAGAACATGGAGCTCACGGAAGTCCAGCCGAAACAAGACCATCTGTTGTGCAGTCTACATCCTTCTTCCCATGCATCCAAAGTCGCATTGCCTCTGGATGAGGCTATATTCGAGATTGCCAACGCCATCTGGCAGACGCCTGCCACGGCCCCACCAACGAATAAAAAGGCCGATAAGAAATATTACGTCCCGGTCACGGGGATGGAGTGCCTGATTAATTGTTATTAATTTTTAACCACTTGAGAGTCTTCATATAATGTAAATAAATATTACCACTGGTCAGCCAGTAAGCAGGCTTCACTAAAACATTCAAACATTCATTTCACTGCAAAAAGGAGGAGGAGGAAAGTAAAATAGTGAGAATATGTTCTTCACGCTCAAACAGCTTCAAAAACTTAAATTTTAATATTTGTCAAAAATGAAGTTTTGAGCAATATGGTAAATTTTTAAGCAAATTTTTATATTGGTGAAAAGGCATTTTCTGCCTGTCATAGGGAAAATGTTGCTTGGTATGTTGTGTGTTTATATATGTTTACAAGAACAATTTCTAGGATTACTTTAGAGATTACAACATAAATGTTAATTCTTCTGTATAATTTGTATTGGGGGTGGGCAATAATTTTTTTTATTTTGAGCCACTCCAAGATTTTGGTAAGTGGTCAAGAGCCACACTTTTGTGTGGAGGGGTGTGAGATCTGGGATGGAAATTGGGTGCAGAAGGAGTTTAGGGCCGGGGAACTGAGGCTTTGTCTACACTGCAACTCTTTGCAGCAGAAGCAGTGTACCCACTTCTATTTTGCGCAAAAACCCCCCTAGGAGAGGCATAAGGATCTTGCACAAAAGGGTTTTTGTGCTCAAAACAAAGCGAATACACTGCTTCTTTTTGCACAAAAGCCCCTTGCGCAAAAAGAATCGGCAGGAAATATGCTAATGGCATTGTGACTCATGCTATCCTCATTAGCATATTTTCTGCCACAAAAATTTGCAGTGTAGACATAGCCTGAGATTCAGAAGAAGGTTGTGGGGTCTGAGAGTGAGTTTGGATGAAGGAGTGGATTGTGATATGGTGCAGAGGATTGGGATGCAGAGAACAGGAATATAGGAGAAGACTTGCCTAGGGGAGGGCGGTGCACAGTCTGAGCGGGAATTCTGACCTAGGGCTGGGTAAAGGGGGTGCAGAGGGTTTGGGTAGTTACCTGGAGCAAAAGGAGGTGGTGACCTGAGTCAGGGAATTGGGGTGGGGGAAGGACTGGGATGCCAGAGGCAGGCTGTGGCCGGGAGGCCCTTATCTAGTTGAGTACTGGCCAGCAGCCCAGCAGGACCCTCAGGTAGGCTTTCTGCATGCCAGCCACCCCAGATGCTCAAAGTGGCTGGCTGTTTCACATGGCTCTCTGTGCCAGGTGTGGGAGAAGCCACATAGTAGGAGACTTCACATGCTGTCCCTTCCCCCACCACAGTCACTCAGCTTCCATTGACTGGTTTCTGGAGAGTGCATGAAGCCTGTTACTTCCTCTCCTCCTCCCCTTGCATGGCATAGAGAGCCATCTGAAACAGCCAGCCTCCTTGAACAATGTGGAGCTACTCTGTGCCTGAGGGTCTTGGAAGGGTAGGCTGCAGGTAAGATTAAAAGGCTTGGCGGGCTGGATCCTGCCCGCCCCTGATTTATATACATTTCTCTTTTGCAAGCTAAATAAACAAATATTTGTAATTTATGTACATGATTACAATACATTTAACACTTTTTTAAAACATTTTCACTAAGTGAGAGATCTACCACCACTTTGCCTTGATGTTAGGCAAAAGCATCGCATCTCTATAGATACAGTCCCACCAGAACTGAAAGCTCCAGTCCCTCCAGAACCTTCTCTTCCCATCCGAAACAAAACTCTGAAAGACTTCCAGTAAGTTGTGTTGTTTTTAACTGTTTTGTTTTTTATTGACTGACTTTCAATTTTATGTATGTATGTATATGATCAGTTTATTTTGTGGCTGACCTCTACTGATGGGATCAGTGCACAATAACAAAATATTTAGATAGAATGTAATTTTGTAAATTAGTTTAGCTAGGATGTTGGCATTAATAGTTCCATGACTATGGAAATTACCATGATACTTTGGTAAGCTTGGCTTATGAGTCATCTAAAAGATAGCAGCAGCAGCAGCTCAGTGCCACATGTTTTTGTCTATCACTGCTGTATTTGGGGAGGAAAGGGGAGTACTGCTGATATTTAGTGGATATGTATTTTCAATCAAAGAAAAGAAAACTGGAGTATTCTCAGGATATTAAAACTCTCTAGATATTTCAGCATGTCTCTGAAGCTTTGCTTTTTATTATTTACTCCATTGAGGTCCAATCAGGTGCTGGTCATCCTCAACTCTAACTGAAGACATTGCATACCATGCCTTTAACTTGTAGCTTCCTATATTTTTGGACTTGGAACAATAGATAATAATGAGCTGAGTCGCCTTTCAATTAAAATGCAGAATTTTTTTTAACATTTAATGTATTATGTCAAAAGAAACTGGTGTCTACAGTTCACTTTTTGTAGTTCCTTTCTATTTCTTTTTCAGCCTCCTTTCTCTTGATGTCAGTGCTATTTTAAATAGTGTAATTAAGCTTGAACATGTAGGGGAAATCATTCTAGTTTTAGTTTCCTTGTGTGAGATGCCCTACACTTTTAACAGCCTTTTATTTCTGTGGACTGAGATCATAGTCCATATAGGTGAGCTTTATAGTGCACTGCTATCCTCTAATAAAATGACAATAAAATCACTATCAAATTAATTTGGTTTTGTTCCACTTCCATGTTTTTCCCTCTAAGAGCACAATTCTGACTGATCTTAGTTATAAAGGAAAAGTTTACAATTGCTCTAAGTGACATGTGTTTTGAGATTTCTCACATTCAGTAGGAAAGTAACAGAGCTTTTGATTTGTTAGGTTTTTCTTTTCTTGGTGCAGAATGAATCAGGTACCACAAAGGATTTGGTAAAAGAAAGTATTTGGCCAGAACTCAAGTTGCCAAAAAACTAAAACATGTGAGACACCTATTTACCATGCATTTTATTCATTTCAACTACAATTTTCAGAATTTTGTGTTAGGAACTTAAGCCTCGCTTTCACCAAGACTTATGTTCCTGAATCTCTAAGCATTTTGAAAATATTATGTCTATTTTCAAATTTACAGTGTTTTATTGACATAAGCAAGTTTATCAAATGAGTGAATATATAAAAATGTTTTATGTTGTAGAGCAGTGTTAACTGCTGCCGGGCCACTCCGGTTTATTTAGTTACCGGCTCCATAACTCAGAGCCTCATGGCTCCTATTGGCTGCAAGCAGCTTCCCACAGCTCCCCTTGGCTAAAAATGGTGAACCGCAGCCAATGGGAGTTACTGCAAAGCCAATAAGTAAACAAACATGGGCGGCCTGGTAGCAGCTTTTTCAGAGTTGATCTGCAGACCACTCTGAGAAACAATATTATAGAGGAAAAATTAAATTGTGATTTGTGATGGCCACTGTTTTCTGGAAATTGTCACTGTTACTGCTTTTTTATTTTTAAAAAATGATTCTTCATTTCCAAAATTGACTTTAATTTTCAGAATTGCCATTCAGAGGGTTAACAGGCCATGCAGGGTCATGTCCACAGCACCTGTCCACTACTTATCTCCTCTGCACACAGCTGGCTCTTTCCCCTGCCATCCAGCAGATAGCTTGCCTGGCTCTAGCCCCAACTTCTGTCCTCCAGCTTTAGCTGTCAGTGGCCATCATTTTAGTACTGTAAAGCAATGGTTCTCAAAATGTTGGCATGTCCCCCGTGGGAGAAGGGGGGAAGTGCCACATTTCAAGCCCCAGTTTCACCCAGACCAGCTCTCCCCCAGACCATTTCTGCCTCCAACCCTGCTCCGCCCTTATTCCTTCTCTGTAGTCCAGCTCCAGCTCTGTCCTGTTATGAGATCTGTCATCCATGAAAGGCATACTATTGCCCACACAACTTTACAGTCATCACTTGATGTGGCCGATACCATTGCCAGACTAATAGCAACAGCAGTTGTGATGCGTAGGGCTTCATGGCTCCAGGCATCAGGGGTACTCAAGGAGCTGCAGTCTAAGGTAAAGGATCTCCCCTTCAATAACAAAAAGTTATTTGCAGCTAAAATTGATGAGGTCCTGCATAGCAGCAAGGACTCCAGTACTACATTCTGTACACTCAGCATGTATGCTCCTTGTCAACAAAAATGCTATACCCCCTACAGTAGGAACAGAGACAACCATTACAACTGCCCACAACAGAGGTCATACGATTACAACTGACCGAGCAATGAACCCAGAGGAAGCACCCTGCTCAGTCATGTTCTTCTGATTCTAAGACCACAACACAACACATTTCAGACTTTAGTTGAGGGTCTGCCCGACCTCCCCATAAATCCAGTGCCAGTGGATTGATACCATCTTTTTGCCCACTGATTATGTCCCTTTTTCTAACATTGGGACTCTATAACATCAGCTTGGTAGGTGCTGGAAATTATCTGTACAGGATATGCTACCCCCCTGACCTCCCTTCCCCCTGTCCTTCCTCTTACCCCATCCCTCTTCAGGGACCTCTCCCACAAAAACCTTTTAAGGCAGGAAATAGATTGACTCCTGCATTTGGGAGGATAGAGTGGGTTCCCCATCTTTACTGGGGAGGGAGGTTTTATTCCAAGTACTTTCTTACCCCGAAATGCACAGGGGGCTGGAGACCAATCCTAGATCTCCACAAACTGAACAAATTTCTATGCAAACAGCAATTCAAGATGGTTTCACTAGCAACAATCATCCTGGCACTGGATGAAGCAGACTGGTTCACAGCCCTTAACCTGCAGGTTGCATACTTTCATGTTGTGATGCATCGTTCCACAGGCGCTACCTTCGTTTCACCATAGGCGAGGACCACTTCCAGTACAGGGTCTTCCTCTTGGGTGTATCCTCTGCCGCCAGGATCCTCTTAAACATCCTAGCAGTAGTTACAACCTACCTTCGACATCAGGGGATTGTGAATTGCCATACTTGGACGATTTATGATTGCCTCATAAAGGGGAGATCATCTGGACCTCTTTAAAAATGAGCATAAATCAACTCTACATCCCATTCAGGACGTAGAGTTCATTGGGGCCCACCTTGATTCACTGTCATCTCAAGCTTTTCTGCCCCACCATTGCTTTGTTGCAATGCAGGACTTAGTAGCCAGACTGTCCACGAGCTGTTCCACCTCAGTACTTACCTGTCTCCAGTTGATGGGCCATATGGCTGCAACCACTTACATTGTTCAGCATGCACATCTTCGTTTCTGTGCTTTACAGAATTGGCTGGCATCAGTTTACACTTCAGCCCACCACCTGGTCCACAAACATTCTTGCTTCTGTTCAGTGGAGAACATCCCCTACCAACCTTCTCACAGGGGATCCCTTTCACCAACCCAAGCTATTGGTAAAACGTAATAGATGCCTCCCTACTGGGTTGGGGTACACATCTGCAGCATTATATTGCTCAAGGCAGGCGGGTGCCACACAAAACCGCACTACACATCAACCTCCTTCAACTCAGAGCCATAAGGAATGTGTGCATGTACTTCACTCCAAGTATGGTGGCATACTCAGACAACATGATGACAATGTTTTATATTAACAGACAAGGGTGTGTCCACTCCTGATCTCTGTGCAGAGGTGATTCGCCTTTGGAGCTGTTGCATTCAGCACAAAGTCACTTTGAGGGCATTATACTTACCTAATGTGAACAATGTCACAGTGGATGCTTTGAGTCATAATTTTTTCCATCAACCGCAAGTGGGAGCTTCCTCCTATGGTTCTTACCTCAATTTTCCATCGATGGGGGTACCCGTCAGTAGACCCCTTTGTATCCCACCTCAATGCCAAATGTCCTTGTTTGTGCTCCCGTGTGGGCCTGGGATAGGGTTCATTGACCGATGCTTTCCTCAGACGTTAGACCATCCCACTTTATGCCTTCCACCAATCCCTCTTATCCTGAGGGTTCTTCAGAAGATCTGCTCTGACCCTGCTTGAGTCATCTTGATAGCTCCCTCGTGGTCCAGATAGACTTTGTTCCCATATCTTCAACACATGTCCATCGAGACTCAATGGCATCTTCCACAGCCTCTTCCATGTCATCATGACCTCCTCTCTCAGAGCCAGGAATACTACTGCACACCCAACCATGCACTCTTCACCTTCATGTGCAGCTCCTGTTTGGTTCCCCGGGACTGAAACCCATTGTTCTGAGCAAGGGAGGACTGTTCTTTTTCACAGTAGGAGGCTATCTATGAGAACCACTTAACTGCAGTAATGGAAATGCTTTTCTTCCTGGTGTGAGCAGGCTCATATTGACCCCTGTACTTCTCCACTCCATAGAATCCTTGACTACATTCTGCAGCAGAAAAGCAGAGGTTTATTCTTCTCCTATGTTAAGGTCTGCCTTGCTGCGAAAATGGCATTCCATGACAAGATCAATGGGTTGTCTGTTTTCACACACCCCATTATGAAGAGGTTCCTTAAAGGTCTCCTGAACCTCTTACTTCCTCACAGAGCCCTGGCGCCCTCGACTTGAGTCTCGTTTTAGACTGAGACCTCCTTTCAGATCCATGGCAGCTTGCCCTCTTCCCTTCCTTCTAATGAAGGTATTGTTTCTGTTTGCGATCATGTCCGTCAAGAGGATCAGTGAGATTGGGGCTCTGATGGTTGACCCACCTTATACCATATTTACAAAAGACAAGGTCACTTCGTGACCACATGCTACTTTTTTCCCAAAAGTATACACTTTGTTCCACATCATCGAGCCTATCGTGCTACCTACCTACTTTCCAAGGCCTCATGCCCCCTCTTGAAATGCCATTATCCGTACTTTGGTCATCCGAGGTGTGCTGTCTTTTGAAATTGACAGGACACAAGTCTGCTGTAGGTCACCACGCCTCTTTGTGTCCATTGCAGAGCATTCCAAGGGTACACCTATTTCAGCCCAAAGCATCTCTAAATGAATATCATCCTGCACTTTTCAATGTTGTTCTATCCACAATAAATAGATGACTGTTCCACCAAGAGCACATTCCATCTGTGCTACTGCAACTTCCACAGCTTTCCTGAACAGTGTTGCTCTCAGGGAAGTTTACTGAGTAGCCACTTGGTCATTTGACCACGCCTTTGCCAGGTGCTATGCCATCGTGCCTCAACTAGCATTGGCCACAATGGTGGCTTCAGCGGTCCTATCCTTGACTGCCAAGTGGTGACTCCGAATCCCACCATCCACATTGAACACTGCTTTGTACTCACCAATAGTGGAGCACCCATGGGGACATCACTTGGAAAAATAAAAAGAAAGTTACTCACTTTGTGCAGTTTAAAGGGTACCACCATTGGTGGCTATGGGGAGTCTTACACCCATCTGTGAGGCAGCATCCAGCAAGTGGCCAGAGATCAGGCCTCTTCTTTATCCCTCCCTCCCCCCAGGTGCAGTTTTCAGCTGGGTCGGGGGGACCCAGGCCTGCCCACTCCTCCGGATTCCAGCCCAGGGACCCTATAAGTAGCAATTACCTGCTAAATTTCAAAGTACTTAGTTGCGGCCCACTTCCCTGGGATGCTGTCCCATCCAGCCCTTTCTCTACGGCCTTGTGGTTGAGTTCCCCTGGTCCAGGGTTCTGCAGGGTTGCCTTTGGCTTCTTGGGTTGCCTTCAGCCACAGGACCTGGCTCTGACCAGGTATGATGCCCTGGCTCCCACTTGGAGCTGTCCAGAGTGCTGGTGTTCCCCAGTCAGCCCTAAGGTCTGCTGGGTTGAGCTCCAGGAAGGAATTGACAGGCCCTGGCCTAGCAGCTTCTTTTATATCAGCCTGCTGCGGTCTGATTGGTTGCAGCAGGGCTGCCACTCTGTTCTGCTCAGAGGACTTCTCTACTGGTCCTGCTGCTGGCCAGGGTGCTGAAAGGCCTCCGGTGGGGATGGTGGGCTTTGTCCTCCCCATGACATGCAGTAATGACTGTTCTTCAAGATATGTGTCCCCATGGGTGCTCCACAACCTTCCCTTCCTCCCTTCTATTTGGAGTCCTGGCATGGGTCCATGTGTGCGAGGCACCAAAGCTTGAATGGCACAGAGTGCCTTTTCGCAGCCCAACTAACCGCTGCTTGAAAAGCTTTGATCTGCAGCTCCTGGACAAGCAGTCACTAACAGTGGAGCACCCATGGGGGGGATACATCTCAAAGAACTGTTGTTACTGAACAAGATAAGTAACTTCATTTTTTCTTAATTTGATTTAAAATACTAAAACCATAATCCACTGAAATAATTATCAGGTAGTGTTGAAATATAGTTTCACAAGCAATTTCAAATACCTCAGTTTTTTTTGGAGTGTCAGTGTTTCTAGAGTCCTAAGTAAAATATTAGAGAAGAAGTTCACTTACACACATCAATTCAAATTCATATAAATCTTTCTAGAGATGAAAGATACTAAGGTAATAGCGAAGTATGAAGTACAAAGTTTATTTAATAAAGTTCTTGATGTCTATACATAAGTGTGTGTGTATAATAATATATTATTTGTGGATTTTCTTTTTAGTGAGGATATGGAAAAAGCTAAATCATCAGGAGATTGGAAAACTGTACATGGTTTTTATTTAACAACATTTGATTCTTTCTTGGAGCTAAATGCTGCATTTAAGGTACAAACCAGTTAAGAATGCTGCTTAGCTCTTATAGATTTTATATGACCAAGATATTGTATCTCCATCACATAAAGTTTGTTTGTTTGTTTACTCAAGAGGACAAGACTCACTGTATTATCTTGTTTACCTTACCCATACACTTTGTAGTTACAATATTTTGTTGCTTCATTTACTAGTTCCATTTATTATTTCTTTTTAGTAAACCATTTGTTCATTATTCATATATTAGTAAATCAACATTTTAAGTAAATTTGTAGGATTTAAAATAAACACAGAAATTGGGGTCCTGAGAATTAAAGAAAATACAAATTCATTATAAAAGCTGTCTCTACAATAAGTTTTGAAAGATTAACTTTGCATTATAGTAAATGAAATATGTGTCTTATTTTGTTAAAAATTTGTGATATTTATTCAGAATCTGCTTGTGATGGTGCAAAATGTAATTATACTATCTGATGTGGACAGTAGGATCTGAGTTGAGGCGATCAGGTATTGCATGGTAGTAATTTTGCTGTTCTTGCTAATAGATATGTATTCTTGGATTAGAAATTAAAAAGCTAGAATATTCTATCAGACCTGGTTTACTCTTTGTTGTTGTTAAAAAAAAATTATCAATTTATTTTTTTCTGTATGTATTTTTTTTTCTAAACTTGTTACAAATGTTAGCACACCAAAACTTTTATTTTAAGGGAATTTAAAAATAAAACGTATAATAACTTGAGTAAAAAATGCTAATGATTTGAATTTGCAGAAAGATGTCAGTCTCCCATTCAATACCATTGAAGACTCTGGAATCAATGCTAAATTTGTGAATACTGTCTATGATGCCTTATTAAACACTGTAAGTAAAAAAAGAAAATGTCTTTTAAAATGTTTTGAAAGATGAACAGTTATAAGCTGAGGAATCTGCTGAAATTGCATAAACTGTGCAAACTTACATGAAATAGCCGTAAAATCCTGAAAACGGCACTCTATAGGTAAAACAACTTTGAGTTAATTATATTTTGGTAGAGTCTAGAGACCTCACCCAGGACTAAGATCCCACTATGCTATATGGTGCACAAACTTAGCAAACCATGGTTCCTGGCCCCTTCAGCTTACAGTCTGAATTGAAAAATTATATAAAAGTAAGTGTAGGAAGCAATGGGGAAGATGAAATAAGGGTGAAGTCATACAAAGCAAGTTAAATGTGCAAATTATAGTTCCAAATAATTTGAAAGGTTTTTTTCTTTAATAAAGTGCATAATATAGGCTATTCTTGACCACTTCTTAATTTAGCCATTTTAAAATTATTTTTATGGTTATCTAGCATTGCAGTATTCTGTGACCATTGGTGTTTTGGTGGACAAAAATATTTGTATCTGCTATAGTGAACTTCATATATTGTTCAGTAAAGGCTATTGTGTAACCATTAGTTTGCATCTAGGCTATCTGCTTGCATTGTACTAAACCATGGAGATATGAGAGAAAATGTAGTAATCACATTTTTTTTCTCATAATGTCTGAGATTCATACTTGGTCACAGATTCTGAATTTGGCTTTTGCAGGTGAATTCCTGTGAGTGTGCAAGTCACGACTGATTTCAAACAGGTTCTACATTCTGTATTAGAGTCCACCTGTGCAGGTTTCTAGCGAAGTTAGAAGGGGCCCTGCACAGCATATGGATCTGACCTCATGATCTGATCGCAGGTTGGGGACTTAGTAGAAAGAAAGAGCCTTTTCTTGCATACAGCTTGAATCTCTCTAGTTCTGCACCCTTAGGACCTGACCAGTGCCAAATGAGAGAATTTGTGAAATCATGGGAGGTCAATATTGTCTAGCAGTATTACCAACACTTCCACTGCTTATTGGGCTCTTAGAAGACATCTAGGGGTAAATTAGAGCTAAATAACAGCACAGAGTACCGAGAGCCAGGACTGGTGGCTGTAAACAAACTTTATGGGACCTTGAGAAACTTGGCCACACCAATGATAAGTGTATACCCAGCTAACTAAAATCATGCTGTACCATGGTGGTTGCTGGATCAGAGAGTACTGGACTAGAGAGGTTCAACCAGTACTAACAAGTACCCATGAAAACAAGGGAATAGTAAAAGAAATTACAAGGTAATATACAATATGTAAGAAATACTAGTGATATCAAATTTTGAACTTAGTTTTGCAACAGAAACACATTGTTTCCCATACTGATTCAAAACAATGGTGCAATCTTTATCTCATTACTTTCACTGGAATCTCACTCTTAAACTGTAAATGTGGGTGGTATGCTTTTTAGATGATGTAGCTTTTTAACATCATTTTTCAGATGCTTGCTTCCAGTTGGAATGTTTTGAGCCTATTTAATAAGGATTAATATAAAATAAGGTCTTCTGGTAACTGAAACAGTGTTTTATGTAACCAAACTTAGAACTTAGCCATGATTTGTCTAGGGTGATCTCTGTTTTTGTATCTTTTCTACACATTCAGCCTTGATAATTTGTATTACAGTAATAATCCTCTAATGGTGTCACATCTAAAGATTTGGGGAAAATGTTATAAACTGATAACATTTTGATTTGGAGAGTAGCTGTGGTGAAAATAAGGTTTGCTCTCTGATTTGTTTTTCTATTTGAACTTCTGTTTGTAGACAGGTCTGCAGACTAGAAAGTTTAAGTTTATACATGTAAAAGAAAAACTACTGAATTTTTTATTTATTTATTTATTTTAAAAGAATGATGGAATTTGCCCTTACTTTTACAGATATAATCAGGCTATTTAACAAATGCTTCTGTTGACTAGTCCTAAAACAATCAAGAAATATTCAGTAGTCCTTGGGCAGTTAACTTTTGTAGAGAAAGTTATTTTCATGAAGGCAAAATATTAGTTCAGCTTTCTTATTAGGGATGTTATACAGTAGGTAATAGAATAGTCGAATAACCGCATGAATTTTTACCAGTTAATCAACTATTCTATAGTCCCTGGGGGTAGGACCGGCAGCCAGTGTTCTGGGCCCGCTCCAGGGGAGCCCCCTGACACTCTGCACTGCTGTCTCTGTGGCAGAACCTGTCCATGAGGGGAGCCAGTATAAAACCAGGTCCCATGCAGACCGGTTGCCTGCCACCCCTCTGAAACAGAGGCAGCAGTGTGGTGTGGCAGCAGCCCCTGTCCATGGGGGTCCGAGCTCCCTGCAGCCAGAGGCTGCTGTGGCAGGGGGCAAGGCTGCTGCAAAGCAGCCTCTGTCTGCAGTGGCCTGGGCTACTCGTGGGCAGAGGCTGGTCTCGCAACAGCTTCTGTCCACGGGAGAGGAGGGGGGAGTCCGAGCTGCATGGGGAGTGCGGACCCCAAACGGCCGCTTGTGCTGCTTGCTCCCGCACGGCGGCCCAGCTGAGCGGCGCAGAAGTCAGCTGAGTGCCACGGCGGGAGGCAACAGTGCCGCCCAAAGGGGAACAGCAGCGTTTCAGCGTTATAGAGTCACAGGCATTGAGCTACTATATATATATGATTCTATATACAATATATGTCTTATATTAATCCAGTAATAAGGTCATCCTTTCTGTTACCATTATAAGAATATTAGTATTATATTTGTAAGCTAGTAACATGGAATTTTGAATATTGAAAACGGGTGTGTGAAGGTAGCATTTATTACTTATTCAGTAACTCATTAAGAAATTGAATATTATTAGTTTAGCATTAAATCTGATACTTATTTAGTTGTCATGTCCTAAAATGAATTTTAATAACAAATTAAGCCTTGCCAAATATAACTTACGTGTAGACCTGGTTTTCAAAATTCAATATTCATCTGAGAGTTGAAAGTAAAATAATCTTTTATATGCAATTTCTGTTGAAGATTTCTCATAGACTACTTAAAATCAGTTTCTCCCATAAAGTGAGTGGACTTAAAGTGAACTGCTTAGCAGTGTTCCCTCTAAGCTCGGCAGCAGCACAGCTTCACCAGTGATTAATCAACCCCGCCCAGTTAGTCAGCTCCATGCAGGAGCCTTGAGCCTCTGACTGGGCCAGGCTGATTAATCACCTATGATTATGTGCTGCCCTGCAGCTTAAAGGGAACGCTGCTGCTTAGTATTGTTCAGTATAGGTTTGTATGTGCAGGACTCCCCATTTTAAATATAGATGTAATGTGGTAAAGTCAAGTTCTTAGATGTACCAAAAGTAAGTTAACATTTTCTCTTGATTCCTTTGTTCAGCTTTATGCAGAGGAGAGGTGTTGTGGAGTAGGCAAAATAGTTGAGTTTTACTGCAGAATAAAAACATGATTCATGATCTTTTAAATAAAAAGGTTATCCTACAGTCATGCGTCAACAATTGTATTGTATGAACTGTTAAAAAAAAAAAAAAGAAGCAGCAGCACCAGTATATTCTTTAACCAAATGCTGTTTGTCTTTTTCTTTCCATTCTTCCTAGCCTCAAGATATTCAGAAGTGTGTCCTAAAAGGAATAATTAATGGTCTGTTACAAGAGTGGAAAGGGTAATTATAACCAGCATTAGCACACATTTACAATAGTGAAAAATCAGGATTTATTGTACAGTGTATTATCTTTCTTTATGTGAAAACGATCTAGCACAGTGATGAACAATCTGCAGCCTGTGGGCTGCATGCGGCTCACTGGGGTTCCACCTACAGCCCGTGAATCCCATCTGCCCCCCTCTCCCACACACCTGTCACACACTGGAGCACTGAATGGCTGATTTTCATGCTCTGTCCCCGCTCCTCCTCCTCTGTAGCAATTCAAACTCTGGGAAGATGGGGAAGGAACAGGGGATGAAACGAGAATCCATGGTTTCGTGGCACTCTGCAAGTTCTGAAAGGGATGGGGAGGAGTAGGAAGTACAGGGCTCCAGTGCCCAAATGATTGAGATGCATGTGTGGGAGGGGGACAGACAGGGGGTTCATGGGTCATAGGTGGAATCCCAGTGGGCCGCAGGCTGCTGCGGCCCACTGAGATAAAGGACAGTGGTTCATATGGCCCATCCACTATTCTTTGTTGCCCATCACTGATCTTGCATGTTTTTAGACTAAGAATGAAAAATTATTTGAATTGAAACTTATAAAGCAAATAAGTTTTTCTTTGAAGAGACACATCTGCTGATCATCGAAATCTTGGTCAAATGCCCTCTTAGTCATTGATTAGAAGTAGCTGGAGCTCTCATGGTATGGCTATACTGAAAAAAAAATAGATAGCATATCACCCTTCTTGTCATTCCTATCGTCTATTGGATCAACTTCTGCATTAGCTAACTCTGGTTGTGAAGACTGGGAAACCCAGCATAGCAATCCATATTCATTCCCAGGCTTCCTTATAAGCTTGAACTCAATCTGCTAACTTAAGTTAAAAATCAGGGTGTTTTTTTTCCTTTATAAACAATGTAGACATAGCCTCAGTCATAATCGGCACAGGATCATAAGGACTACTCCAAGTTCTTGCTAGAAATTTCTTATGAGATAAGTAAGTGACTATGGAGCTCCCTCATGCTTTTCTAAAAACCCTTTATTTTCCAGCTGGAAACCCAGATTTTTCTTTTCAGCTTTTTGCTTTCAGAATGTCTTTTCTCTGCTGCCTCTCCACAATGCAAATTGCCCCTCTGTCAGACCAGCATATAGGCTAGTGGCTTACAAAGGTGAACAATGGTGTTCCAGAAACAAAGTTCTCTATTCTTCTTTGCTTCTCTTCATTACTGCCTTTTTTGTTGATAGATCTCTGCTGGATAGAGAGGGATGTGATGGATATGGCTCAGCAAACAGTAGTAGCTCAAAACAGAAGCATCTGTACAGAGCACAAAAAATTCAGCGAGGGAGGCAGGTCTTAGTAGTGTTAGTAACAGCACCAGGAAAGTAGATGAACACCAAAAAGTAGTACAAACCAGACTTATACCCCTGTTACAAAGCACAAAAAGTCATGTGTCATGAAAGCCTCCTTGCGTCTTTAAGGTAGAAAAAAGAGCGGTAATCTTCTTTTCGCATACTATTCTCAGCTCCTCATGCGTCTCTCATTCCATGCGGTTCCCTCCCATAATATGTAGGGGGCTTATTAATTAATATTTATATTAAAAAGGTTTGGGGGGTCTCTTGTACTAGTGCTGTATAAATAGAAAACAGAAAAAAAATGCTAAGATAGCTGGCTGGCTGACTTTGCTCTGTTGCTCAAGGTTCACCTCACTTAGAAAATAGCCAGAATTTCATAAGGGTCTTCCCAAAAGTCTCTTTCAGTAAATTAGTTCATGGAAAGTAGTGGGATTTTAAATGCAATGAGCACTAAAATAGGTTATTTATCTTACCCTTCTCCCCCCCTCCCCGAATCCTTAGACAATTTCTTTCATGGACATAAGAGCCACAATTAAAGAAATACAAGAAAAATTGAAGAGTTTTGGAAATGCTACTTGCTTCTTCCTCCAACTCAAACACTTCCTATCAATCTTTCCACAAAGAACAACAGTTTATTCTTTAAAATCTTAACTTGCCACTCAAGAAAGACTTTTAACCTCATGGAATACTTTAGCACCATGATTATTTTGACTCTGGAGTCCTCAGCAAAAGGCAAAAAAGAATCAGTTAAAGCCGAGGTGGTCATACATTTTCCTGTTAGTACATGGACTTTCCTTAGAAATGATTGATTGAGGAACAGTTTACTCAGAATGGAAGCAAACATGACAAAGCTATTGCCGAAACTGGAGATCAATAACTTTTAAATAAGCTGCAAAGAAAGGAATACCCATATTGCTCAAGGCATGATGTAGGAAACAATCTTTTTCATTAAGGAAGACTTCTTACTTAAGCACTATATTAGATAGGAAGGTGAAAGCACCGTCCAAAGAAATTTGGGCGTGAGTATTATTTTTTTCAGCCTCCTGTTTTTGCCACTTACTTTGCTGGAGCATCTCTATAATGGTTTAGGAGGGGTGTCTCAAAAGTGCTCAACATTGACCTTCTTTGCTCCCATTAAATCCACTGGAAGCTTTATCATTGACCTGATTGGAAGCCGATGATTGAAGCTTTTGAAAATTCCATCCTTGAAGATATATGACCTTCAAACACAAAATAATGCAGACCATTTTGAAGACTGCTAGTCTCTTCATTCGTGGTAGATGACACCATTCACCTAGTTTGATTCTCCACAAGATCAATGACCCTAAGCATCATTGTTGGGAAATAAACTGAGTTGAATATATGGAAATGTATTAATTGAGGCAACTGATCACACTTTAACACCTTTTTACAGAAGAAGTCCATTTGATAAAACTCTCAACAAATGATTAAAATCTCTTGAAGACAGTTGGGGCTCAAGAAACATAAACTATTCAGTAATTGCAGGCCAGGCTGTCTCCAGTATACCTAAAAGATGCTACAAGAAATAATTCATTTTTTTTAAACTATGAAAGACAATGCTTACAAAGTAGAAAAGTACACTAGGATTTCTGCAGTGTTTCCTGTATCAGAAACAAGTGTGCAGTTTGATTTTGTTCATTGTACCACAGATGTTTGATTCCTGCTTTCTCTTCTCATGAGAGGGATTTATTATAAGAGACTTCTACTTGTAAATTCTTGCATGGACTTGGGGATTTATCTCATGGCTAAGTCTTTCTCAGAGACTGCTTCTAGACTGGCATGATTTTGCGCTAAAGCAGCTGCTTTTGCACAAAATCTTGCTGCCTATCTACACTGGCTGCGAATATTTGCGCAAGAACACTGACTTTGTAATGTACAAAATCAGTGGTTCTGTCACATACTCTGATGCTCCCGCTCAGGGATAAGCCCTCTTGCGCAAGTATTCTTGTAGACAGCAGTGTTAATTTCTTGCGCAAGAAAGCCCGATGGCTAACATGGCCATTGAAGCTTTCTTGCGCAAGAGAGCGTCTATGCTGGCACAGATGCTTTTGCACAATAGTAAATCTTTTGCGCAAAGGCACATTCCAGTATAGACGCTCTCATGCGCAAATACTTTTAACGGAAAAACTTTTCCGTTAAAAGTATTTTCACAAAATCATGCCAGTCTAGACTCAGCCAGAGTGTTTCAGTATCAATAGTCAAATTAGTTGAGATTCATTACTGCATATTCTTTAGGGAGCAAAATAATCCTTAACTTTTCAGACTTAGAAGTATCTCACATCTTAGCATCCTGTTATTTTATTCTAATGAAAAATGAAGAAGAAAACTAAAAGAGAACTGATTTCCAGCTTTTTGGATTGTTCTCAAGATTTATCTTAAAAAAAAAAAAAAAAAAAGGCAGTATTGAGTAGCAAGTTTTTTGTCTTTATCAGTCTTCATCATAGAAGGCAGAAAATCCAAAAAGTCTCCTCTTGAATCAAATTCTCTGTTAATAAAACATTGAAGGCCAAAGGTCTTTCCTCCTTGGAGGGACTACAGACAGTCCTCTGAATCAACTTCATTTTCATGTGCAGAGAAATCTTGAGTATCAATCAAGGAAATGCATAAAGCAACCATTTTGTTCCAAAGTGAAGTTCTGGGTATCTGGCCAAACAGTGTTTCCTAAGAGGGTATTCAGCTAAGTGGTGCTTCTGCAATTTTTTCTGTGCTTGCCAAGGTTTCCAGCCGAACCTGGTTCTTTTCTGCTTGCCTGTTTTTCACTACCGGCTATGCTTTCTATGCAAAGGATCAATGGACAAGCCTCTCTAATAAGAGAAATGTTCTTTCTTATAATTTTATCTGGGCATGTCTCCTGATCGGTCGTTGTATTGTTGATAAACTTGATTTATCTTCAAAGAACTGTTCAGAATCACATTGAGGTCCAATTAGAAGACATTTTATCGGTGTGTGTGTATATATATATATAATTATTTTGAGTAACATGCTTCTTTCTTATAATTACTTGGAAGAATTCTTTCTGGCATGAAGGAAGTGGATGGTGGGTTTCTTGTCCTATGACCTAAAATGATAGATTACTGCTGCTTCTCCTGACCAGTCAGTGAAAGGGACCCAGAGTATGTGTAGATTGTAGAATAGTGATAGAAATGTAGCCGTGTTAGTCTGGTGTAGTCTAGATTGTAGAAGAGCAACAGATATGGTATTGTTAGGAAAGCAAAACTAAGATGTTAGATACATGTTTTCATTGACTATTATTAATGTTTGTTTATATTTATTTTTTATTTTGGTATAAATTTGTTTGTTCTTAGGCCACGAACAAAAGATGATCTTAGAGCATACTGTATACTTCTACAGGTAAGAAATATAGACTTTTTTTTAGTAAAACACACAATCTGTTAAATCCAATCAAAAGCTAAACTGTTCCGTAAATTTAAAAATACAAGTTAAGAGACTTCACATTAAATTGATTTATATTTTGTTCCCTTCTGTATGGAAACAATTACTGGAATATTTACACTACTTTACAGATAAGTCAACTGCTGTGGAGTTTTTTCTTTTAAAAATGTATATTCATAGGAAAAATAGAGGCTTTCATTCTATTTAACATGTGAAAAACAACACAGACATACTGCTTGGAACTAAGGATGTAAAAAAGCACTAAAATAGTTAACTGGTTAAAGATGTGCTGGTGTGCTGACAAAGCCACTGACACTCGCCTCATTGCTCTATGAGGTTTCTCACTGCCCTGGCCTGCTGGGCCAGATCTCCTGGTCTCCCACAGCCAAGACACAGGGCTGAGATTACCACCCTCCCAAAGAGCAATATAGACACTGAAATTTCAAGTCTGAGGAGAATGCAGGCTTGGGCACAGCTTCCTAGAAACCCACTCCCCATATGGAATCAGAACTCCAAATAAACCATTCAGATAAGCCCTCTTTAAAAATCAAAGGAGGATGTGCACACTAAATGCGTCCCTTGTAACAGTTATTTACACTGCGCTTCATAGGAAATAAAAGTGAAGCTATTAAGTATAAATAGTAGGATTTAAGTGGTAGTATTTATAGTATAAATAGTAGTATTTATTAAGTATAAATAGTAGGATTTAAGTGGTTGCAAGTGAAAACAGGTAGAAAAAAGTGAATTACAAATTTAAGATAACAGAAAATGCATAGCTAGTTTTAACATTCTAAAAGCTCATAGCAAACTTACCCTAAAATTATTCTTATTTCAGCTAAGCCTCCAACCTAGGGAAGATCTTTTTGCCCTGGGGTCTCTGGTTCATGCTTTTGGGGGTGACATGTCAGCCAAAGACCAAGAATGTGAAAACTTTGCTGCTTCAAGAAACGTCCCTCTGGGTGCTTGGTGTGTTCCAGCGCCACAGACTAGAATCTTCACAGCAGTGCCTGGGGGGGCCATGCATGCATGATGAGTAGGGTGTGCCAAAGCCATGCATGCAGGCCCACCCTCCCCTCAGTTCCTTCTTATCATGCCTGGCTTAAGATGGAGCTTGGCTATGCTTTTCACTCCTTCATCAAATCTTATATATAAGTAGTTAAATTTTGGTTATTTCTTCTTTGTTTATCTCACGCCTTATCCAAGTTTGTGTGTCCAAAAAAACCAATAACAAAAACCAACCCCGCCCCCATTTTTCTCCGAGTTGTTCTCCCCTCATTACTGTTCACCCCACCAGTAATGCTGGGGTCACCTGGCTTCAAATGCTGTTCAGCCTGTCATGATTCCATGCCTGTCTCCGACAGACATTCTAAAGGCGTGAAATGCCTTGGTGAGTCCCATGTCTAAAAGGACTGCCAGCACTACACCAAGCTTCAAGTGCAAATGTGCAGAGACAGGGACCTTCGCCTAAAAATGCTCATGTTGGAAAAGGTACAACCTCTGATTCAGGCACGGAACGTCCTAACAAACTGAGACCTGAAAAGGGGAAAAAATCCCCAAAGAAACATGCCTCTTCATTACCTCACAAGGTCCAGTTGCCCAAAGGGTGCACAACCGAAAGATCAGCACCGAGAGCTGAAAGGCCACCTCGTCTCAGTACTTATGATGCCCGAGTGTTTCTGACACCAATCAGGCTGTCTCTAAACACAGCACACACAGAGCCCACAGAAGGCCACAGGCCTGTGCCTGCCTCACGCACTTCGGGACCCACTGCGACACCAACTAACCAGAACAAGGACTTTTCAGCACCGAGGCCTATTAATGCAGCACTACAACAGCTAGCTGCACCGACTATCGGTACCGTAAAATCATCCAACGGTGCCGCGACAGCCGTGGAACTACACCTCACATTGGTGCTAACCATCACTACATCAGCTCCAGTACCTGTCACAGCACCATCCACTCCACCACCCAGGTATTTCCACCAGAGATACCTCATGGTGTCATGTATATTTACTTCTCTGTTCTTTAGTACTAGCACGTCACAAGCTTTAGTGGCACCAAAACCTGCATCATCACCTACACTTTTATCTAGCAATGATGATAAGGAGGAAGTAACATTTTCACCCCAGTTGTCACTCAGTACCGAGATATCTGTGCCTTTGACCCATCATCCCATCTTCAGCCATCCCATCGGCACAAGGATGCCCCTTTGACACCCATACCCATGGGTGCCAGCACCCATGCACTGTGCTTCCCAGTGGCAATGTTGGAGTCCATGGGTGTACAATTATAGAAAGAGGCACTCAAAAAAGAAGGCAGCCCAGCCTGCCCCTTCTTCTCCACCACAATCTCCATCACTGCAGAGGATGCATCAGTAGACCACAGATCTGGCCTAGATACATTCCGAGACACAAACTCATCCTCTTTGCCTGACAAGGCAGTCATGCCACCACCTCCTACCACAGCTGATAACTTCACATCCTTTCAGGATCTTTTTAAGAGGGTCGCAACTGACCTTATCATAGCCGTGGAGGAGGTACAAGAGACATACCATGAGCTCACCACCATTCTCCAGGTCACCCCATCAGCCAAGATCGCTCTGCCTATAAATCCAGCCTTCATGGAGACTGCCAAGACTGTATGGCAGATCCCTGCCACTATCCCCCTCCCGCAGCTGTAAGAGGGCAGATAGGAAATACTACGTTCCCCCAGAGGGGTCTGAATTCCTCTACACCCACCCACCCACCCCCAAACTCTCTAATGGTAGAGGCGGCCCTTCAGAGGAACAAGCAGCATCAGCTCCTCACCAGTCTGGCCGATAAGGGTAGAAAGAGGCTGATTTGTTGAGAACGTACCCAGAGCCAAGAAACAGCAATTCAAGGCAGTCATTGTGGAGGGACCTGCAATATCATGAACAACTTTACAAGCTGCTCTCGACACTGTGGATACCACCACCAGATTGACAGCAACTTCAGTCGTTATGAGATGGGCTTTCTGGTTCAACTCTTTGGCATTTCCCCATAAGATACAGTCAACCATGGAGAATCTAGCATTCAAGGGCAAGAAGTTGTTTTCAGCCAAAACCATTGAGGGTCCTTCAAGATATCCAGCAACCACAACTACAACAACAACATGGTTGTGGCAGGCAACAGTACAGACTCATTCAAAGCAGTGCTACCTACTTGCCATAGCAACAAAATAAGCAAATTTGGGGCATCAGTCAACCAAACACTGCTTACACATAAAGGACAACAAAGGCTGTTTTCAGGTGATCACCAAGACATTGAGGGAAACACCCTTGATGGCTCTCATTTGCACATTTAAAACCATAAGCCATTCTACTCTCCATGGCTGTGTCTGGACTGGCAAGTTTTTCCGCAAAAGCAACTTGCCAGCTGTCTACACTGGCTGCTTGAATTTCCTCAAGAACACTGACTTCCTACTGTCTGAAATCAGTGCTTCTTGTGGAAATACTATGCTGCTCCTGTTTGGGCAAAAGGGCCAGTGTAGACAGCTCAGATTTGTTTTGGGCAAAAAAGCCCCGATGGCGAAAATGGCGATTGGGGCTTTTTTGTGGAAAAGCGCGTCTAGATTGGCACTCACACTTTTCCGCAAAAGCACTTTTTGCGGAAAAGCGTCCGTGCTAATCTAGATGCTCTGTTCCGCAAATGCTTTTTCAATTAAAAGCATTTGCGGAAAATCATGCCAGTCTAGACGTAGCCCAAATGTCTAACTTTACATACAAGAGTGATACATGCACCCAAGTAAGATTTACAGATCCAGAAGATTGTGACATTAAGATTGACAGGTTAGATGACTTTTATTTTGTCCAAAGCATCTTCTAGTTATGAATATTTATGTTCATAAGTCAATTTCATGAAGCATGGGTAGGGTCAGTCACAGTTTTGTTTAACTGGTTCACTGCTGTGGGCGGCATCCATCTAAGCCCCCAGCAGCTGCAGGAAGAAGCTGCTCTGGCTGACCTGCCACAGCCATGAGTACGGTCCAATCAGCCGGGTCCACCAAAAGTGCAGACTTCTGCTGGTGGTGGCCAGCTGGTGGGGCCAGTTAATTGGTTACCTTGTAAGCAGACAGATAAGGCTACTGCTTTACTGGGTAACCAGTTAACTTCTTACATTTTTATTTGGAACCTGCTTCTTGCAAAATGAGAAAGCAAAGTGGGTTATTTTACTTCCTTCTCATCTCTCCTGCATTGATCTGCCCTCATGCCCACTCTCCCAACAGACTACATTCTTCATATTTTGAGCAATGTTTTGTTCCAACAGTTAAAATAAGGCTCTAATGTGATGTATGTATTAATAATATTTATATGTTTCCTGCAACAAGACAAAGGTAAGAATGCCTGAGTCTTATTTATATTCGCATTTGACTGTTACTGCTATGAGTGGAATTGTGATGAATTATAAATCTGTATTTTACTAATATAGATGAGTCATGTTGATGTATTTCATACACAAGAGAGCAGTTCACCAGCACTTGGGGATCAAGACATTGGGAATCTATTTCACGTAGGAGAACAGGTTTTCAGCTACACCAGGGAGGAGCAGTAACTATGAATTATGTGAAATGTAACCTGCTGTGATAGTGGGAGTGTGATAAGTCCAGTGCAGTGGCACTGATAGAAATTAAGACTAGTGCTCTAATCCTAGAAGATGTCAACCATTAGTATTTATTTGGAGAAATATAGTTATATAGAATATTGAGCTATAGTGTCAGTGCTAACTACAGGCATAAGGATATTGAAACTTGCGTAAGTATTGCTTAACTTATATATTTTAATTGATGTTTATTGCAGCAAAGTTTTTGTTAAACAGAAATCAGAGATTTGTTTATTTAAAACACAAGAACATTATTATTTTTTCTGTTGCTATATTGAATTAATACAATATATTTTAAATTAACAGAAGTTGTAAATAAAAAACATTGTTTTATAAATTTTGACTCTCAATTTTCAGAATACAGTATTTTCATCCATGATGTGTTGGTTGGAAAAGTGTAATGGCTTTATTCTTTATACTAATTTTGGTACTAACAGCTTATTTTTTCTTTTGCAGAATCCTCAGTTTAGTAACACATCTACCTATGTCATCTATGCTCACTTGCTAAGACAGATAGCAACCTTGGCAGAAGTGGACCATCATTTCCTAGCTCACTGGTTTAAAAAGTAAAAACAACAGCAGCAACAACAAAAACTTTCCATCATATAGAATCACAATTTTTAATATGCTTTCATTATTAATGAAAGTTTTTTTTATTCTGACAAGCTTTAATTATATTAACTGAAAAGTTTTATTTTCTAAAACATGTATGGCAGGAAGCAATAGGCTGTGAGGAATATAGAGAGTCCTCCTTCTAAAGTTATGGAAGTTACAAGGCTATGTTAATTTTAGCATGGCCCTGTTGTAACTGTTCTGGTAGGAGCCTCTAGGGGCTGTAGCTTCATTTACGATACAGGGCTTCAGTCTGAATGAGCCTGGTCTTGCAAATTTTCTGTTAGATTTGGAGGAAGCTTTTCAATGACAAGGGAAATATTCCCTTCTCAACTTGAAATGTGTCCTAGTTTACTAAAACTATAATAGCTAAATTTTGGTTTTGCTCATTGTTTAAAAAGAGTGATTGTTCTCTTGTTTAAGCAGATAACATGAGGATTTACATTTTTAATTGTTACAGCCAATGTAGAAAAGCCAAAAACCTGTCCGGATTAAAGTATAAACTTCACAGAGAGCAGATAATTCTGTCTTTCCATTTTTCACTTTATTAAAGAACCAATTAACTATTTAGTAAAGAAGTAATTTCTCATACAGTAGTATTAAAAAGATGTAAGAGATGAAAGCATACCTAGAACATACCTGATGCATTCAATTGAATTGCTAAATCCTTTTAAGAAATATATTGTCAAAACAATTTTTAGAAGTATTCAGATGTCATTAACTTTATATTTGCAATTTTGTCTATTCTAGTATAATTTAGGGGGGTAACTTCAGTGTATTTCTTCTAGGATTTCACAGAAGAGATTTAAGCAATTGGTAGACAGGTTGCTGCAATTCATTTCTTTACGTCTGTTTCCTGCAAAGCCTGAAGAATTCCCACCCATGATAAAATGTACCTGGTGGATTCCATCAGCAACCAAAGTCTTGGCTTTATTCAGTGAGTTTTTCCTAACTAAAATTGATTATTCCTAGTTCATACCTCTGTGAGAATATATGAGCTTTTTCTTTTAAGCATAGAGAGAGAAAATGGTAACTAACAAAGTAGATTCTGCAGTCGCTGTTATCAACAGACCAGGGTATTCCCACAGCATTTCTGTTTTTCACCCCTGATACTGAGGAGAATACAGCTCTGTCTGCATCTAGCAAATGCCTTTTTCCTTATCCCAGAAGAATCTGTATCCTAAAGCAAGATTTTCCTTGCAGACATGATCTAATGTATATAAAAATCCCTTCTTTTCCTAAGCCTGTATGTTTATTTAGAGAGGAAGCACCATCTTATCTTGCACTTCAGTGGTTGAGATTTTCTCCCACAACAGTGTGACCACTTAGGATTGAGTCAAAGCTCAAAGGTGCAAGTGGGAATAGCTTACTCTGTATTTTAGAAATGCACATCCGTCTGTCCATCTGGGAGGTCCATTTATTCAAGAACTCCTCTTAAATGTTAAGAGCTAGGACCACCAAATTTAGTATTCAGCTTTCTCTTATCATAACTTAAAAGCAAGGTGAGGGTTTGGTTGTACCAGGATAATGGGATTTGCACAGACTTTGTTGGTTTCTCATAAAATGGAAAGGGAGGGATCTGGCAGGAGAGAGTTATACTACAGAATGACTGGGGGAGAGGAGGGAGCAGCAAGGGATGGGGACCGGGACAACTATAGAATCATAAAACTGGAAGGGAAGGACCTTGAAAGGGCATCGAGGCAAGTCCTCTGCCCTTACAGCAGGACTAAGCACCATCTAGACCATCTCTGATTTATGTCTTATCTAACCTTCTCTTAAATATCTCCAGAGATGGAGATTCCACAACCTCCCTAGGCAATTAACCCTGACAGTTAGGAAGTTTTTCCTAATGTCCAATCTAAATTTCCTTTGCTGCACTTTAAATCTGTTGCTTCTTGTCCTATCATTAGATGCCTACGAGAACAATTTTTCTCCCTCCTCCTTGAGACACCATTTTAGATACTTGAAAACCGCTATCATGTCCCCTCTCAGTCTTCTCCTTTCCAAACTGAACAAGACCAATTATTTCAGTCTTCCCTCATGTTCTCTAGACCTAGAGAGCAATCATTCCTGTTGCTCTTCTCTGGACCTTCTCTAGTTTCTCCACATATTTTTTGAAATGTGGTACCCAGATGGGGACACAATACTCCAATTGAGGCCTAGTCAGCATTGGAGGCCTAGTCTACCAGAGTAGAGCAGAATGACTTCTCGTATCTTGCTTACAACACTCCTGTTAATGCATCCCAGAATCATGTTTGCTTTTTTTGCAATAGCATCTCACTGTTGACTCATATTTACCTTGTGGTCCCTAGATCCCTTTTTGCAGTACGTTAGAGTCCAGATTAACCGACACTCGGTAATCCGACACTCCACTTAATTTGACCCTGCAGCTCCGGGGGACTTTGTCCCCCGGAGCTGCAGGGTCGGATACAGCGCGGGCTGGAAGAATGGCCCCGCTTGCTGCCCTGTTGCTCTGTAGGAGCAGCTGCTGCCGCTCCTGCCGGGGACAAAGCGGCCTCAGCAGGAGCAACAGCAGCTTCTCCTAGAGAGCAAGGGAACAGCTGATGCCGCTCCTGCTGGAGACGTCTCCCACAGGAGCAGCATCAGCTGTTCCGTTGCTCTCTAGGAGAAGCTGCTGCTGCTCCTGCCTGGAACTGTCGTGGCAGCAGCTTCTCCTAGAGAGCAAGGGAACAGCTGATGCCGCTCCTGCTGGAGACGTCTCCCACAGGAGCAGCATCAGCTGTTCCGTTGCTCTCTAGAGTAGAGTCCGTATCATCCGACATATTTGGTAATCCGACCATGGGTAATCGGTCCCATTTACGTCGGCTGATAGGGACTCTACTGTACTTCTTCCTAGACAGTCACTCTGGAACGCCTTGCTAGAGGATACAGTGAAGGCTATGACTTTAACAGGGTTCAAAAAAGAGCTAGATAAATTCATGGAGGTTAGGTCTATCCATGGCTATTAGCCAGGATGGGTAGGAATGGTGACCTTAGCCTCTGTTTCTCTGGAGGTGGGTGACAGGGGAGGGATCACGTGAGGATTACCTATTGTGTTCCCTCCCTCTGGGGCATCTGGTTTTGCCACTGTCAGCAGACAGGATACTGGGCTAGATGGGCTATAGGTCTGACCCAGTATGGCCGTTCTTTATGTTCCCATTCTGTATGTATAAAACTGATTGGTCCTTCCTAAGTGGAGTACTTTGCATTTGTCCTTATTAAACTTCATCATATTTACCCCAGACCATTTCTCCAGTTTGTCCAGATCATTTTGAATTATGAGCCCGTACTCCAAAGCAGTTACAACCCCTCCCAGCTTGGTAGCATCTGCAAACTTAATAAGCGTACTCTCTATGCCAATATCTTAAATTGGTGGATGAAGATATTGAACAGAACCAGTCCCAAAACAGACCCCTGCAGATCCCCACTTGTTATGCCCTTCCGGCATGATTGTGAACCATTAATAAGTACTCTCTGGGAATGGTTATCCAGCCAGTTATGAACCCAACTTATGTAGACCCATCTAAGTTGTATTTGCCTAGTTTTTTTGATAAGATGATCACGAGAGATTGTATCATATGCCTTACTAATGTCTAGATATACCACGTCCACCGCTTCTCCCTCATCCACAAGACTAGTTATTCTATCAAAGAAAGCTATTGTATTGGTTTGACATGATTAGTTCTTTACAAATCCATGCTAGTTGTTACCTGTCACCTTTATTTTCTTCCAGATGTTTGCAGATGAATTCCTTTATTACTTGCTCCATTATCTTTCCGGGCACGGAAGTTAAACTGACCGGTCTGTAGTTTCCTGGGTTGTTCTTATTTCCCTTTTTATAGATGAGCACTATATTTGCCCTTTTCTAGTCTTCTGGAATCTCTCCTGTCTCCCATGATTTTTCAAATATGATAACTCAGAGGCTTAGATACCTCCTCTATCACGTCCTTGAATATATTAGGATGCAGGCCCTGGTGACATGCAGATATCTAACTTTTCTAAGTAATTTTTACCTTGTTCTTTTTTTATTTTATCTTCTAAACCTACTCCTTTTCCACTAGCGTTCACTATGTTAGGTATTCCTTCATCATCAGATTTCTAGGTGAAGACTGAAACAAAGAAGTCATTAATCAACTCTGCCATTTCCAAGTTTCCTGTTACTGTTTCTCCCTCTTCACTGAATAATGGGCCTACCCTGTCCTTGGTCTTCCTCTTGCTTCTAATAAATTTATAGAATATCTTGTTATCCTTTATATTTCTACCTAGTTTGAGCTCATTTTGTGCCTTTGCCTTTCTAATCTTGCCCTTGCATACCTGTATTGTGTGCTTATATTCATCCTTTGTATGTGTCCCATTTTCCACTTTTTATATGACTCCTTTTTTATTTTTAGATCATGCAAGATCTTCTGGTTAAGTCAAGGTAGTCTTTTGCCATATTTTCTATCTTTCCTACGCAGTGGAATAGTTTGCTTTTGGGCCCTTAATAATGTCCTTTTGAAAAACTGCCAACTCTCTTCAGTTATTTTTTCTGTTAGTCTTGCTTCCTATGGGACCTACCAGTTCTCTGAGTTTACTTAAATCTGCCTTCCTGAAATCTGTTTTACTGTTCTCCCTTCTTCCATTCCTTAGAATCATGAATTCTATGATTTCATGATCACTTTCATCCAAGATGCCTTCCACTTTCAAATTTTCAACCAGTTCCTCCCTCTTTGTTAAAATCAAATCAAGAACAGCTTCCCTCCAGTAGCTTTCTCAAACTTCTGAAATAAAAAATGTCTCCAGTGCAGTCCAAGAATTTATTAGATAATCTGTGCCCGCTGTGTTAGTTTCCTAACATATGTTTGGATAGTCAAAGTCCCCCATCACCACCAAATTCTGCACTTTGGATGATTTTGTTGTTTAAGAAAGCCTCATCTACCTCTCCTACCTGGGTAGGTGGTCTGTAGTAGACCCCCTCGCATGACATCATCCTTGTTTTTTATCCCTTTTAATCTAATCCATAGACTCTCAACAAGTCTGTCTCCTACAACCATCTCCACCTCAGTCCAAGTATATACATTTTCAATATATAAGACAACACAGCTCCTCCCTGTTTTCCCCCACCTATCCTTCCTGAGCAAGCTGTAACCTTCTATACCAATATTTCAATCATGTGTATTATCCCACCAGCTCTCTAGATCCCTTTCTGCAGTACTACTTCCTACACAGCTGCATCCCCTATTACCTTATTGAACCGGTAGAGGGGAGGAATGGAAAAAGGGACAGTTATCTATTATATATTCCAGAAAGTTTGTGTGTCTGTCTATCCCCTAGCCAAGGGTCATGTATCCATCCCCTGGCTGTTCCCACTAGAGCTGCAGTGGCAATAGACAGTTGCTTCTCATCTGGCCCTAAGGTGCTGTGGTGAGAGAAGGCTGGGATTATCCTGTCTCCCCAGGGCAGCTTGGATAGTGAATCCCTCATTCTTAGCCTCTTCCCCTCCTGCCTCCCGAATGGTGATTTAAATGAAGAAAAACAAAAATTATTTCAGTTAAGTATGTGACAAATCGTCTAGTGTTGATTATAAAATGTTTATACGGTAGGTTGCTGTGACAACTAAGACCATAATAGTGCAAGAAGGATACATATAAAAAGATATTGGAAATCTGAACATGAATCAAATGCAAATGATTATCATTAATTCTGTTTCCCCATTAAAAGAAAATAGATCAAATAAATATGAGATGCTTTCAGTCATAGATATGACTGAGACTGATATGGGCTATTTCCCACAAGTCGCTAATGTATAAATCCACAAATCCCATTGACACAAGCCTGTTAGCAAACATGCAGGTGAATTGGCAGATTTTAAAAATTTCCAACCATGCATCATTGTTTATTTTGCATATAGCAAAAGTCAGAAATTCTGGTAAGGTGCAGTACTTTATACAAGTGTTTTATTGTTGACTGAACAGATATTCACAAACCTTAGTATTAAATTTGAGATTGGAAATCCAGTGTATTGCTTAAATGACTGTGATAAATGCATTGCAACTCCTAAATTTAGGCTTGTTGAAATGAGTCTTTCTCAGTCATTTATGGGGAGTGATTTCAAGTCTACAGTGTGGGCCTTCTTTTTACATCAAGACAACAATAACAAGTTTGCTAAATCTCATTTGAATGTAGTACCTAATTATTTCACTGTGAAGCTCAGGCAATGTGAGAGAGAATTGCAACCCTGAAAGGAAATAGGAAGGTGCCTCAGTAGATGTGTTTGAAATATCTAGGTAAGAGTTCAGGACACTGAAAAATAGGGTAAGTAATCAATTGATTCCTTAGTCAGAGGTGTCCATTGTTCTGGTGACTATACATTGCTCTTTTTATTTATAGCTTATATGAGTAGACTACTCTTTGGTGGAATCCTGGCCCCACTGAAGTCTATAGGAGTTTTGTTACTCTTTAACGGGGCAAGATATCACCCTTATAGTGAGGTAAAGTCAAATTCAGATTTTTTTTTTCCAGGAAAGCAGTCATTAGTTGATGAGAAAAATATTTTTTAGATTCCCATTAGAATTTCAGGGGTTTTTTGTTTTTTTTTTAATTCTTGGAATTTTGTTCTGTTACAAGTCACTGATCATAAGCATTAGTTGGTACTTTAATTTCATTGACACAATTTGTTGCTTCTTAATAAAATACCAGAAAAGATATATAACAGTTGCATGTCAAATTGCATATGTCAAACATATGTTTGAGATGACAGAAAAAAGCAGTTTGACTCCCTGAACATAACAAACTGCAAAATAAAAATTATCTTGATGTTGCAACTTATTTTTCTAGTTTCTCTTTATTAAAATTGTTTGTAAAGTATTCATTTATTATTGGTGCCCAAGAATAACAATATTTATACTAGAAAAGTAAAAGCATTGCTATAGCTAGCATTCAGAAGAAATGACTGTTCAAACAATTCACTTTTATAAGGACTCTGATAATCACACAACTTGAAAATTGGTATTTCTCATTGGGATAGATGTTTGAGAGAGTTCCTGATAGGGATTCTATATGTTTTTCTTGTAGATGCTGCAAATACCCTTGCTAATCCTGCTGTTATTCCATATACGGATTTTTATAATTCTACATTAGATCATATTGATCTCATGGAAGAGTATCATAACTGGCAATGTTATGGAAACTCTCACAGGTAAAAGAGAAACTGTCAAAAAAGTTGGGTTTTGTTTAACAGTGAATAAAAATAGGTTGTATTTTTGTTGTTCATTATAAGCCTGTCTTTTTCTTGTGCTCTGGTTACCCACGCGGATGCCACAGCATTGATACCATGGAGCCAGAGCTTTTGCAAAGCAGTGCCATACTCATGGGCCTCATACTGTACCTCATGGTGCAGTGCTTCCAAACTGCCCACATGTTGCTCCAGCAGGATGAAGACCAGCATGGCCCGCAGGCCCTGTTCAACCAAGTCCTGGTGCTCCTGCTGCTGCACACATCCCTTAATTTCCTCTGGACACAATTGAACACTGCTTCTGGTTGAGAGGGAGACTAGCTCAGACTGGTGGGACAGCATTATCATGCAGAGCTGGGACAATCAGCAGTGGTTTCAGAACTTACATAAGAATGGCCATACTGAGTTAGACCAAAGGTCCATCTATCCCAGTATCCTGGTTCTCAACAGTGGCCAATACCAGATGCCCCAGAGGGAGGGAACAAAACAGATAATTATCATGCGATCCCTCTCCTGTCATCCATTTCCAGCCCCTAATAAACAGAGACTAGGGACACCATTCTTACCCATCCTGGCTAATAGCCATGGATGGACCCAGCCTCCATTAATCTAGCTCTTTTTTGAACCCTGTTAAAGTACTAGCCTTCACCACATCCTCTAGCAAGGAGTTTTACAGGTTGACTGTGCACTCAGGGAAGAAAAACTTCCTTTTGTTTGTTTTAAACTTGCTGCCTATTAATTTCATTTGGTGACCCCTAGTTCTTATATTGTGGGAATAAGTAAATAACTTCCTTATTCATTTTTTCCACACCATTCATGATTTTATAGAACTCTGTCGAGTCCAAGTCTTTTTAATATCTCGTTGGGACCCATTCCAAACTCCTAATAATTTTTGTTGCCCTTTTATGGACCTTTTTCAATGTCAGTATATCTTTTTTTGAGATGTGACCACATCTGTACGCAATATTTAAGATGTGGGCATACCATGGTTTTATCCATTTTTTCATGATTACTAACATTCTATTTGCTTTTTTGACTGCTTCTGCACACTGAGTGAATGTTTTCAGAGAACTATCCACAGTGACTCCATGATCTCTCTCTTGAATAGTTATAGCTAAATTAGTCCCCATATTGTATGTATAGTTGGGATTATTTTTTCCAGTGTGCATTACTTTACATTTATCAACATTAAATTTCATTTGACATTTTGTTACCCAATCACTTAGTTTAGTGAGATCTTTTTGAAACTTCACAGTCTGCTTTGGTCTTAACTATCTTGAGCAGTTTAGTACCATCTGCAAATTTTGCTACTTCACTGTTTACCCCTTTCTCTAGATCATTTATAAATAAGTTGAATAGGTTTGGTCCCAGAACAGACCCGTGGGGGACCCCACTGGTTACCTCTCTCCAGTCTGAAAACTTATCATTTATTCCTACACTTTGTTTCCTGTCTTTTAACCAGTTATCAATCCATTAAAGTACCTTCTCTCTTATCTCATGACAACTTACTTAAGAGCCTTTGGTGAGGAATCTTGTCAAAGACTTTCTGGAAATCTAAGTATACTATATCCACTGGATCCTTCTTGTCCACATGTTTGTTGACCTCTTTCGGAAACTGTAGTAAATTTGTAAGGCATGATTTCCCTTTACAGAAACCATGCTGACTTTCCCTCAACAAATTATGTTCATCTGTGTGTCTGACAATTTTATTCTTTACTATAGTTTCAACTAATTTGCCTGGTACTGATGTTAGACCGTCTGTAAATGCCAAGATCACCTTTAGAGCCCTTTTAAAATATTGGCATCATGTTAACTCTTTTCCAGTAATTAGGTACAGAAGCTGATTTAAAGGCTAGGTTACAAACCAGTTAATAGTGCCACAATTCCATATTTGAGTTATTTCAGAACTCTTGGGTGCATGCCATCTGGTCCCAGTGACTTGTTACTGTTAAGTTTATCAGTTTGTTCCAAAACCTCCTCTAATGATACCTCAATCTGGGACAATTCCTCAGATTTGTCACCTAAAAAGAATGACTCGGGTTTGGGGATTTCACCAATATCCTCAGCCATGAAGACTGAAGCAAAGAATTCATTTAGCTTTTCTGCAAGGACTTTATCATCTTTCAGCACTCCTTTAGCATCTCGATCATCCAAGGGCCCCGCTGGTTGTCTAGTAGGCTTCCTACTTCTGATGTCCTTCAAAAAAATTTGCTATTCCTTTTTGAGTATTTGGCTAGCTGTTCTTTAACCTCCTTTTTGGCTTTTCTTATTATGTTTTTACACTAATTTAATTTTAAACAAGCAGTATAGAATATTTTGGAAGCTAATTTTTAATTTACATGGTGCATCAACATTTCTGCAGTCTTCTTTAGTGGATGATCCCTCTGATGACTAAAATACTAACTATTGACTTTTGGCATTTCAGATATGCTCATATAATATTACTAAAGGTGAAGGATGAAAGAAACTTTAGGTATTAAATGAAAGGTGACACTAGTTCTTTGACAAGTGTATAATGGGCTGTCCTTTCATGTTGGGGTCCCAATTCCAAATTCCTGCACAAGTTCAAAGGCAAACTTCTGTTTTAAGAAGGAGTGTCATACTTTACTTATAGTAGCTTTATGATGTTCTACACAGTTGTCAGTGAATAGGTTAAAAAAGACAATAACACTATTGCCTGTCATGACTGAATGTTAGCAGAGCCACATGGGGAAGCATGGATAGCACCTGCGTGCTCTGTTCTTTGCAAAAACTGGTAGTGCAATTCCCTTGCTTTCATGAGAGCTTAAATTTAACAAAGAAAACTAACAAAAGAACCATTGGTGTGTGTCACTTTTGGGATCCTTGAGTGTTAATCATCCTTATTCTTGATTGATTGCAAAATAATATTAGTAATGGCCTGATTTTTTCAGAAGTGCTGGTCACCTACAGCTCCAGAAGTCAATCAGGTCTTAGCAAATAGCATAAAATACTTGTATTTCCATTATGCGCTTTAATTGCCTGGAAAATAGACATGAGACTTATTTTTTGCAATCAAAATCATGTAACAGTTAGGGGTTTTTTTATTCATTAACTGCTTAACAATTCAAATTTAGTATCTAACACCAAAAAGATTGTTTGCATACTACAGTAGCTGGCTTTGTTCTTCAGTCACATATAAGTACAATAATGGCAGATGCTACAATAAAGATAAAAGGTTTTGTGCGGAAAAGTACATTCAAATACTGTGACTGTTAAGTCCTTGTTTGTTAATACTAAAATGGTTTGTAAAAGATTAACATCTGTGCACCCAATGTGGAAAGGTACAATAGCTATTTCAGAAGAAATTTACAAATGAGACATTAGTGGAGGGGAGTATTGCTATCCAGTAATACAAAAATTTATTCTTGTTTTGCTTCTCCTTCGTAAAAATTACACTTTGTTTGACTTGATGTCTGTTTTGCCATTCAGGTTTTCTTTCTGTCAGTACCCATTCGTTATTTCTATAGCAGCAAAAAAAGTTATTATTCAAAGGGATTCAGAACAACAGATGATAAACATGGCAAGGGTAAGTCACTTTTTGATAAATGATATTCATGTAAAAATAATGTGATACATTTTAATCTGTTAAACATTCTGTAAAATTATTCACTGCAATTTGTGAAATTTAGAGCTAACCTCTAAAAACAATTAGGCAGTTCTAACTTAGTGTCTGCAAAAAAGCCATGAAGAATGTTTACATGTTTAGGGCTGTAGTACCTTCATAAATGTGTTTCTACAGTACAATATTCTGCAATATATGGACCTTTTTTCACCATTCCCATGAGTGACAAGCAAGCAAGATTCATGGGGAAGATAATTTTGAGGGAATACATTCCTCTGAAAAGCCTTGTTAGTTGTCTATTTTATTATGCTAGTGTGGACAATGATAGATCAGAATACAACAGTAGCTA